ATTTATTTCATCTGATGTTATAGAGCTAATTAAGCTTACTTGATTAAATTGAGTCTGAAGGAATTTGAGATGTTAGATATCACATATTCATTCATTCACTGATGAAAATTTCACAATATAATAGTTATCTCATAGTGAGATGCATCCATGATGCAGCAATAAAATAATCATTTCTGAATTAGCAAATATAGATTGAAGAACAGCTGTAATGTGATTTTTGGAAACACAGAAATGAGCAGGGTTTTTAAAAAGAAATAACAATTTAATTGTTAGTGAAGGTTATTCATTTACAGATCTTCAAACAATAAGAATATTATATTAAGTAACAAAAAGCTTGATAGAAATGGAAGGAAAAGAATGGGAAAGTTGCTTAGATAAAATAAGTTCCAAAATGTTCAGTAACCATCATTATTAGCAACAAAAAGAATTGAAAGTTTAGTGTAGAACTCTAGAGAATTTATAAAAATTTGAGAGTAGGCTCCACTAGGTATAAGATACAGACTAAGGTAGTCCTTAATGACTGTTTTTTCTGTGTTTGACATTATGGCACAGAACAAATGTAATTTGTGCCTGATCTTCAAAGTTATGGTCACTGGATACCTCTATGGTCAAAATTCAGGTTCTTGGTAGCATGCCAGCATTTCCAATTATAAGGTGTGCTTCAGCAACCCTCACCTGCTTATCTTCCCTCATGCCCGCCATTTTACCACCACCACCCCTGGATGCACATGAGACCTCATAAAGGCCTTATAAAGAAAGGCTAGGCCTGCCCAAGCATCCCTTGTCAGTAGTGGGAACAAGAGCTGTCTAGCTAGGGTGACAGGGGCCTCAGCGTACAGGGCAGCTCTGGTGATCTGAGGCTTCATATTGGGCCATGGCAGAGGCTTGTGAGGTCTACCACCCTCAGCAACAGCCACCCTAGTCTAGATCCTCCTTTTGATTCCTTGCTGACATCCAACAGGTAGAATCAACGGGGAAGCCAGAAGAAAGTCTTAAGCCCTCTCTTAGTGACCCACGATTCTCACTCAATGATGGCAATGGGGACTGCTGGGATTGCTGTTGCTAAGCAATGTGACATTACTGTGACAAAAAATTCTGGTCCCAATTACCATTGCAACCTGAGGATCACCTATATACACGATTAACAATGAAAACAAGTCACTTTATAATATATAATGTATATTCTCAGAGACTGGGTTCTGAAGATCTTGTATTTATGGTCAATTATTTGCAATTTATTGATCAGATAGAATGCTTGACTGGCAATCGTGTTATTTTAGTATAGTAAAAAGGATCAGCTAGAAATTTAGGTTTTCATACCTACTGTAATAGATAAAATTATTTGAAAATGCATGCAGTTATGATAGGGTATACCAAAATTGATTGTCTGCATTAAGGTCTCTATTGGAGAAATAATTGCAGATCACCTAAAAACAGAACATATGAATTTGGCCATCTTTGAATGATTAAAAGTTAAGCAGGTCAGACCTAGGTAATACTTGAATGGAAGAGCATCAGGAAATGCCTATCTCTAGATTATATTGAGAAGTTTAGAAAAGTCCTGGGAGAAGACAGCAGCTTTCCATATTGTTGCCATCAAAATTTATAGACATATCCATGAATTTACCAGAAGGAAGCTTGCCTCAAAAGATATCTTTGTATGAACATAAATGATTGTCTTCTAGGTTTTGTATTGAAAAAATTGCCTTTAAAGTTACAATCCATTTTGTATAGCATTAAGTTCTTGCTGATACTTGCTAACAACAGACCATAAAACAAACAGTTCCAGAAGGCAGTCATTTGTACAAGAGACAATAAATTTATCAATAAACATATCCTGAAAGGAAAGCTAAGCTTTACTGGAATCCTGAATGCAAAGCTTTATTGGAGACCTTTAAATGCAAAGTTCTTAGTAGTAAATGAAAAATTAAGTATTTTAATAAGCAGTTAAAATCCACTGCAGACTGCAAAAATCACATCCGTTTCCATTGTTTCTGAAATTCATTTGCTTTTTCTGTGAAATTTTTAATAGACCATATGAAATAACATCCATTATTCACAATTGTCTCAATTAAATCATACAGTGAAGTTATTATGCAAAATGATGCAAAATGATGTAAATACAACTAGGGTTGTCAACATGCACCCAAAGTGTATTGAACAAGTTCTGCTAAATTGAAGTTTCATCATGGTACTTACAGATAAGAGTATTTTATGTCTAATTTCTTTGTGTAGGAAAATTGCTTTCCAACCTTTTTGAAAGACTCCTTAGAATCTGAGGTCTTGGGCATAACATTAATGCCATGATGGGCATGGAGAGTTACAGAATACCAGTTCACCAGAAAGCAAATTTGCAAAGTTAGACTTTATCATCCTTCTGATATGCCAATATTTTGTCTACCATTTCATCTTAATTTTCTATTTTTTTCTGGGTAGATCAAAAACATACTTGTAATCAGTGGTGTAGAGGACTATTGGAAATACAATTTATATTGGGCTTGAGGTTCTCCTTTACAATATCCTAGCTTTCCTTTATTATTTAAATGAAATAATATAGAATATATTTTATGGGGCAGAGAACCTCATAGATATGATCTGTGATGTTATCATGTATATCAGAGGTGTCAAAGTTGATTTTACTGAGGGCTGCATCATGGTTGTGTTTGACCTCGGTGGACCAAGATGGGAATGGCCAGCTCGTCATTCATGTCAGAGACACCTATAGTGGCCAGAGCACTCTACCAGCGAAAACAGGCTCCTGAGCTGTTTTTGGTTGTGACGGCTCCTGCAACCCTCTGCCAGCAAAAATGGAGCTCAGGAGGGCTGCATGTGGCCCTCCCAAGCTCTGTTTTTGCTGGCAGAGGCACTGTGGGCTGGTCCATCACTGTTTCCAGGGCAGCCCCGCAGCCCAGATGTAAGCACCCCACAGGCCGGATCTGGGCCTCGGGCCTTGAGTTTGACGCCCCTGATGTACATCATCGTTTGTGAGTGCCAGTTTCTGTTACTGTAAAGTTTTTGAATGTCTGTTTTGCAACATGCTGTACTTTTAACAGATCCTCTGGGAAAAGGTTGGGATTAAGTCGTCAAAAGAAATTGACAGTATCCAAATGAATACTTTGTTACACTAATCTGACAAGACAGTTTTTGACTGTTTCCTGGGTATCACAAGCCTGTGAGGAAAAAAGAAAAATACAGTAGTTTTCCAATATCTGCATATCATTTTAATTTTTATGTTTTCTAATTAAATGTAAATTGATATGGGGGAAGGTCCAGCCCATGGCCCCTGCTTTGTGGAGTGCAGCAGGTCTCTGAATAATATCCACTCTTGTTCAACATCTACATTAATTCACTGGGTGAGGTAATCTGTCAATTTAGGTTGAGATATCATGAGTTGGTAGATGTTGGCCAGATTTACATCTCCAGCCCAGACCACCTGCATGATGTGGTAGAAATCTTGTCTTAGTGTCTGAAGATTGTGGGAAGTCTTGAGTGTAGAACAATTATCTTGTTCTACACAGCAAATCCGTAGCAAAACCTAATGGTTTTAGGACGCTATTGTTCTAGGGGCCTTCTATGTGTAGTTATTGATTGGGTTACACAAATTGTGGGTTCTCCTGGATTCCCAGTTCCTTCTTGAAGATCGGATAGAAGCTTTGACTAGGACCTTTACAGTTACATGTTGTGCACCAATTACCCCATTCCAGACTGGTTCTTGGACACTCGTGCATTTGGCCTACTGCAATGTGCTTTTAAATGGGGCTGCCATTGAAGAGTATTTGGAAGCTTCAGCTAGTGCAAAATGAAGTAGTGCAGGCAATTATGGGTGCCTTTTAGAGCAGGGCTGTCAAACTTGTGGCCTGCAGGCTGGATGCGTCATGCACTAGCCACACCCATACCTGGTTTGGAGGTGAAATCACGATGTCACATGACGCCACTGTGACGATGCAAATTTGACACCCGTTTTAGAGCCAGGGATGATTCTGCTCTGCATTGTTTGTCAGTAAGCTTTCAAGCTACAGCAGGACCAAGGGTGGGTTTCTACCGGTTCTGTCCACCTCTGTAGAACCGGTAGCTCTGAAGAGCAGCAGACATAGAACCGGTTCTATGTCTGCTGATGTTTTTGCCCACCCACCCACCCGGGCTCTTACCTGATCTTTATTTCCTGATTTTTCAACTTCAGCTGCCTAACGAGGCACAGCTGCAGTTAAAAAAACAAAGAGGGCTGTTTCATAGGCTGCTTCTTGGCAGGCAGTGTGCTAATGATTTACAGGCAGGTGGCTCACAGCGGGCAGGGAAGCTCATAAATAGAACCGGTAGTTAACCCTTTTGTATGCCACCCCTGAGCAGGACTATCTCTTCCTGGTTGCATCTACCTGTCCAGTTGGATCAGGAAGGAGGTGCATGCTCCAGGTACCGTCTACTAGTGATTGTCATCTGGCAGGACCCAAGCTTTCTTGTCATGACATCCATCCTTTATAACATCATTCTAGACATCAGACCTTCCCTGATCCCGCTTACCTTTTGTAATGTTTTGCAAGCCTGATTTTATTATTGAGACTGGGGGCCCAGATGTAATTGTATCTGCATCATGTGCTAATTGTTGTTGTTGTTGAATTTTTCTCAGCTTATCTTGCTTTTAACTATTATAAGATGGACAACCATAATAAAGTAAATATTAATGCACGATATTAGTCTAAAACGCAAGGGGCACAAGTCAGAAAAAAAAATCATTGTCTTTCCCAAGTGTTGTTTTCTGATTTGTCCATTTGATATTGTCATATCGAATTATCAATTGTCTCTCAGCACCTTTTTTTTTTACATGAAACTTGGCATGCAAAGCAAGGATAAGAAGTGATTGGGGGGCGGGGGGAATGATACCCACCCCTATAATGTATATATTGTCAGAAAATGGAGATATGTCTCATGACATGACTGTGGTGAACTTAAAAAAAAATCCTGACTGAAAGTGATTTGACAGTTTAGAGTTTGTGCTTGTCACCAATTTTTTATTGTAACTGGCAACTTCCACACTTTATAGTAACAGAATGACAGAAAAATAATGTTCACTATATATACAGCATGTACACAGGCATCTTCACCATACACAAGGCTAGTGATCTTGACAATCTCATCTCCACAGTCATCTGTGCACAAAAAAACATCATCCATCAGACATTATGTGAACATTACAGTGAAATGACATTCCAAGTCCAGTGAAAATTCAGCGTAATACAAAACATACCAACTTACTGCAAATGACATCCTTTAAAATAATAATTACTCAGTAGTCATTTAGCTAGAGTCTGAAGCAGAGATGTGTTGTGTAGTTATAAGTCTCTTAAGGGAAGCAACCTCTGCAGACAAATTTGCTATGCCCTGTTTCAAGTACAAGTTTTTGGTCTCAGAAACTTTGTAGGAATTGTCTTTAACATCGAGCTCTGTGGTTTTGCAGTCACCCTGGGTTTTTTCAGTGAGTTCTTTTTGATGGTGCCAGTGTTCTGGTTTCAGAGACCAGTCTTGGATATTAGTCACTTGAATTGAGAAAGGAGTGTGAGTATTATGTGCTAAATTTTGTGCATTATGCTTTTCAAGTTCAAAATGTCTTTTAGATGACATATCAATAGGTGACAGTCGTTTTTGTGTGGCATCGTATTCATTATCCAATGTTTCTACTTTGATTTGCATGGCCTTTGCCTTAATTCTCAGTTTATGAGGAAGTGCAGAAGAGCTTACCTCTGGGACCTTAACTATGGCATTCGTATTTTTAAGTTCAACAGGAGAATGGATTGGACCTTTAGGAACCTGCTGCTCATCTTCTCCATCTGATGACTTTCCCACAACACCCTCATCAGTTTCTGAAGTCCTTGGAGAATTGCTGGAGGATCTGCTGGCTTGCAACAGTGGAGGGGAATGTGAATAGCCATTAAAATGGCTTCCCATGAAGCCTGGATATATTGAAGTTGTAAAGGACCCTCTTTCATCTCGTGAATCTCTTGTATAGTTTTCTAATTCCATAGGTTCCTGCTTTATGAGTTGGAATTTATCATCAGTATTTCTGCAATTGTTTTGTGTGGGGCTTGCTTGAGTGTGCTCTACTGATGACACTTCAGATACATCAGATAAAGAGCTTTGTGGCGAGTGCTTAATGACAGATATACAACTACTGCTTACAATAGTTGGCTCATGTTCATCAATGAAAGCGTTAATGCTTGATTTGGAATTCTGATATTCTTGAAAATAAACAACTGTTGAATTGTTGAGCTTCTGAATCTCTTGGGCATATGCAGAAGAGCTTATTAAACCAAACTTTAACTTCAGTGAAAGTAACTCAGCTTTTAAAGTGGCATTTTCTTCTCCCAGTGCAATTAGCTTGTTCTCTAAAACAAGATCGTTCAGTCGCCGTTTTTCCCTAGATCTTTTGGCAGCTTCATTATTTTTACGCCGTTTTTCCCAGTACATTGCATCTTTCTTTTCATCCGGAATGAATTCCCGCTTTCTTCTGCATGCTGAAGTCTTGTTTTTCGTAACGGCTCCTTCTGCAAGTAACATTTCATCACCAATAGCTAAGTCATCCGATACATCAGTCAGTGTAGAATTAAGAGCCATAATTTTGTCCATGTTGCCACTTGTATCAGCAGATGCCTGTTCTGTTTTAATGGACTGCATTTTTCTTAGCTGCATCAGAAGCAAGTTTCAGTAAATATGTAAATAATAATATGATAAAGTAACTTTTCAGGACTTGTTGAACTGGAACAATTTGATACATACAGTGATTTTAATTCCATAAGTATTATTCTGTTTATTCCATAGTTTCAGGTATCCTGGTGAAATTTTCCTCTGAGCTGATTCATCTGAGAAGCTTCTTTAAAAAATCTGTGGCATACAAAAATAATAATAATTGTTTAGTTACTAATTTCTCTTTAAAAAAGCATTTGCAACACTTTTAATAATTGTATTTATTTTATGCAATTATCCTTTATTTATCATTTACACAATATTTACGGCTCCCTCATAAACTAACTCAGGGGTTAACTATAATGCGTAAGTAAACAACCCAGTAAAAATCACAATACCCTCAGACCAACATAACATAGTTAAGAAAAATTCTGCCCAGTCACTAAAAACTTAAATGTCTGCTTAAAAAGGAAAGTCTTCTCAGGGTAATTTTTTTTAAAAATGAGCTTTGTGTGTGTGTGTGTGTGTGCTTAATGCGCATATAAAGGGCAGCTCTTTGACTACACAGTTGGGTCTACCTTTTTTTTAACACCCACACACCTAACCTCATAGATCCCCTTTATATTGAAGTAACTACAGAGAAGGGCTTCCTTCTGATCAGTGGTAGGATTCAAAAAAAATTATTACCGGATCTGTAGGCATGGCTTGGTGGGTGTGGCAGGGAAAATATACTGTAAAATCTCCATTCCCTCCCCACTCCTGGGGGAAGGTTACCACCAGTTCTCCGAACTACTCAAAATTTCTGCTACCGGTTCTCCAGAACTGGTCAGAACCTGCTGCATACCACCTCTGCTTCTGATATGCTTTTGCTTCTCACAGTGACAAAATCTTGAGGAAGTCCTCTCTTGATATTTTTACAATTTTACATTTTACAAAATAGAATTATTTTAGTAAAGTGATCTGTAACATAACCTGGCAATGTGCTTACTAAAGCTTTATATTCATTTATTCATTAGGCGAATGTATAGGGCTACCCAACTCACACATGATGATTCCAGACAGCGTACAACATTAAAAACCCACAATCTAAAAACCCTCCCCTTCCCTCATCCCCCCTCTATTTATAGATAGTGCCATATACATTACTTTATCTATAATGTACCTTCCTGTCTTTTTACAGAACGCAGATCAGCTATTAATAACTACATGTTTAAAAACAACTAATTGAAAGACATCATTAAAACTTCATAAACACAAACAGCATCTATCTAGCAAATCATAATTATGTTTCCTGCAACTAAATGAAATCTACTTGTCTAAATATACAGTATATAGTAGATAGAACTATAAATATATGTATTGTGTTGAACAATTTTTAGAAATCCAATAAACCATTAATACCAAGGAGACACACTGCTTGCATTCCTCAGAAGGAATTAAATAAAACCAAACATATCCACACTTATATATATTAAGCAGAATGGGCAACATTTTCTGTCCAGGAGCTGCAACTCACTCCATTCTGGACGGTTGCAAGAACATTTCTGTTTGACATCGATAGAAAGAGCAGGTACACATTTTAAAAACCTACACATTTGGGAAGCTATGTTCTAAGAAAAATTTCAATTGGCCATCCCACCCTCCCCCATGGTTTATGAACTTTTTGCCAAGAAACAGCATTTACTTCTGATTTCTAGCAAAAGCAAACCCAAAAGCAAACAATGGGTTCAACAATGATTGATTCAGTATACTTCTGAGTTATCCGTAAAACTAATAATTTTTTTTTAAGGTACAGATAGTCCTTACTTAACCCTAATTAGGAGTGGAATTGCCAACACTAAGCAAAGAGGTCATTAGGTGAAATATGTTAATACATCATTGAGCAACAGCAGTTCCAATAGTCTGGTTTCAGTCATTAAGTGAGGACCTCATATGCCACCATAGCCTACCCCCTGCTTCCCTCCCAGCCACCCCTGGCTGACCTTTGCCCAGCTGAACTTTGTAGCCTTGCAAAGGGCCAGCAGCTATAAGTCTTCTGGAGTCCTTTGGAGTGGTAGTGTAGAAAATACAGACATATGTCATACAGACTGGGATACTGTACTGACATATTGAGGTCATGGCAAAATAGGCCTTCTTCCTCATTGATTATTCTTGATATGGAAGAGTTCTTTGAAGTACCCTGATCTCATGCTTTTAAAGCATTATAGGTTAACATCCTAAACTTAATTCAATGGAAAATCAGCAGCAAGTATAGCTATTTCAACAGAAATTATTATACAGTAATGGTGAGGCATTATACACAACAGTCTAGCTGGTGGTGCTTCCAAAGGCAGCCCTACATATTTTTAGTATTCAGTATGGCGTATTATTCATCCCATTCCAATGCAAATAATGGTTCAATATCATAGCACTGGAGGTATGGAATAGTTAGTAATTTGGAATAAACACAATCTAATAAGCATCATTATGCCAATAAAGAAACATATATTCCACTTCTTTCAAAAACTGAGGTTCCCTTTTGTTGCAATAAATAAACTGAACCAAACGAAGGAAATGGTAAATAAAGTACCATTTCCTCTGACAATTTGAAAAAGCATTCTTGTGGTTTAAATAAGATAAATCTTCTGGTAACAAATTCAATATTTACAGTAACCACAAAGTTAAAGTGGGTTTTTTTTTCCTCACATTGTGTCTTTACAAAGAGTTACTATTTTAAAAATTTACTAAAACGCTGCAAGATTCCATTAGTTTTATACGTGTTCATATGTAATTGGAAAATATGATATGTGTGTACATATACATAAATGACTGAAATGTAATTCCACCTATTATTTTATTTCAAATTCTACCATTTCTTCTATGGTTAATTTCAGTTGTTTATGCAATTTATTTACTACCTCAATCCTCATTGACTGTGTGAATAGTTCAGATATTAAGATAGAAATAAGAATAAAGTTTACATTTAAAAACTTAGATAACAAGTTTAAAAGTAACTACTGTCAATCTATGATCAATCCCCAAATGCCTTCCAGAACAACCAACTTTTTACTACCCAATTATAAATGCTACCTTGCATCTCTTGAAAGATCTTTTTAAAGACAATGAACTACTAAAATTGTTTACAGCATAAGTCATTTTAACAATGTAATAATCAGCAATAACTAGTTTAATATTGAAAAGGGCAACATGAAAACCATGTAAGTTCATAATGCTTCATCCTCACTTTTTACCTATTCAAAACTTTAAAATGATACAGCTTCTGTTGACTTCAAAAATACAATTTCTGAAAGAAGTACATAATCTCCTTCAAGGTAAATTATCTTTGGTTAAGAGGCAAGGAAGGGGAATGCTATGCAATTTACTATTTTTATCCTACTATACCTGGAGTTTGCATCACAATAATGAAACTCAGGTATTCATTTGCAGAAGAACAAAAGGAAGCTTATGAAACAACAGAGCTGCTAGTATTCAACTAAACCTATGCAGTCAGGCTGAAAAAAGACTAAAAGCTTATTTACCTGGTTTAGCCATTAACTACATTAACTCTCACTGTTGAAATGAACAGTGGCATCCTATTTTTAGTCAAATCAATTATTTACCGCTGTCATATATTATAATTTCTTAGGGAAATGGTTGGTTCAAAAGTATGAAATTATAAACAAATATAAATTTGCAATGATACAACTGCAGTTGATTATGCTTGATTCTAAAGCATGCAATGATGCTTTGTGTTACTTTCTAGTTAAAAATTTATAGACTAGAATTGATATTATTCTAAAACAACAATCAGAGCGTTAAAGACCAACAGTAATACCAGACTGTAATACCGGAAGTGACGAAATGGTCCTATAATTTGGCCTGGGAAGCCTTGCAGAGGCTTTTTCCAAGCCTCTGGGAGGCCGAAAAAAGGCCTCAAACCAACCGAAAAAGGCCTCAAACCAACAACAAAAAAATCAGCTGTGAGGCGCAGTGCAGGTAAGCGGGTGGGGGGGGTGTGAGGATTGCGCGGGCATGCACAGGGGGCATGGGGAGGGGACACGTACATTGCATTCTGGGTACTGCCACGCGAGTATGGGCGTGCCAGCGCACTCACAATTTTTGGCACAGGAGCCCAAAAAGGGTTAGCCATCACTGCCCTAATCACTTCTAGATTTGACTAGTGCCGTGCACTCTGCACGGGGTAACCCTTAAGAATATTCAGAAACTCCAGCTGGTTCAGAATGCAGCGGTATAGGCATGCTGCTAAAACAGTGTTTAATAAGTACTGCATTAGTTGCTAGTTTGCTTCTGGTCCAAATCAAGCTGCTGTTTTTAATCCTTAAAGCCCTTAACGATATGGTATAAGACTATCTGAGGACTGCCTCTTCCCAATTACATCAGCCCACCTCATATGTTCTTGCAGAAAAGGCATGCTGCAGGTGTAATCAGCTAGAGATCTACATTTGGTGGGGTCCAGAAAAGTCTTTGGTGTGTTTCACATCCTTGTCATCAAAATTTGATTGGCCTCATTCCTTCTGATATTCCGAAAGGCCTTCAAGATCTGGTTGTATTATCAGTTTTGGGGCTCCCAATGTGATTTGTTTAGATGGCTCCACTGTTGAAGGGGGCATTTTTAAATTCTCTCTTAACTATGGTTTGTATTTATTACTGGCTTTTAGATTTACTCTTTTTATATTTTTGTTTTTAATCTATTGTTGTGTCTATCTCTCTTCGATGAGATGGCTATATAAATTTTATAATAAATACATACTATTTATGATTAGATGAAGAGCCATGTTTTTGTGAGATGAATGATCATATAAATAATTAAATAAGGCTGAAATGAAAAAAAAATGGCACAGGTTTACATTAAAAGGTAAAGATTTCCTTCTAGGGAACCGACTCTTTACGTTTCCGGCTCTAGGGAGTGGTGCTCATCTCCATTACAAAGCCGAAGGGCCAGCACTGTCTAAAGACATCTCTGTGGTCATGTGTCCAGCATGACTAAATGCCGAAGCCACATGGAACGCTGATACCTTCCCACCTAAGTGGTCCCTATTTTTCTACTTGCTTTTTTACATGTTTTTGAACTGCTAGGTTGGCAGAAGCTGGGACAAGTAACAGGAGCTCACTCCATTACCCTGTGCTAGGGATTTGAATCGCCGAACTGCCGACCTCTCTGATCGACAAGTTCAGCGTCTTAGCCATTGAGCCACTGC